TACGAAATGAGGGCGAGGTGTAAATCACTTAGGAGTATCTTGTTGGTTCAAAGCAAGTTTAGGGCTTTCCGTCAAAAATAAAAAGAGTTGTAAAAGCATCATGAATCCTGTCTTTGCAGCGTTATTTTCACTTAGTAGTACGTAGCAGATTAAAAAGCGGCATGTACTACTAGGAGTATATGCAAATGTACATTTATAGCAAAACTAATTTAACCAAAACGGGCAGGAGGCGCCGGTAAAGTTGCGCAGTCTACTTCACGCACACGGTGCAAGTTGCAGGTGGTGAGCTAGTGGAGCTGCACTTTTGCGGCGCCCCCTGGTAAAAACAGCGCTGCTTTATTCTGTCCTCGATCGGAAGAAAGCGATCGCGCGCGCCGAAATGTTGCTCTTCGTTTCGTTCGCGGCGGTGGGAAGAAAAACATGGACACGATGGATGTTGCCATTAGACATTTCAGGTTCTCCTTTCCTTGTACAAAAGCTACGGAATTACGCGCGCTAAGCAGTACAGAAACCACTAGCAACAAAGGCATTAAAACAGGCGGCGATGAATTCAGCTAGTTTCAGCAGCGGCGCTTATTACCGTCATCCACCATGAGGTTGGAGAAGAACCCCGCCGGCGAGCTGCTGTGCCGGGCCAGCATGTCCGCTCCGTCGTCCTTCATCTCCCCTCCGCCGCCGCCGCCGCCGCGAAACTGGCCGTGGAGGAGGTCGTTGCCGCGCCCCAGCGAGATGTCTCCCCCTCCGTAGCGCAGACCGCCTCCAGCAGCGGCGGCCTCGCTGCCCTCGTGCTTCCCGTGCGGACCCGACGAGGAGGAGGAGGAGGGCTCGCCTGCCCCCGCCGGCAAGAACCTCCTCATGTCGTGCAGTTAGCAAAAATAAGCCCCCTTCCGGTGCAGCTGGATGCGGCGAGGGGCGGCCGGACACGTACTCTGGCAGATTGATCGACGGGGTGGCGCGCTTGGGTCGTCGACGGCCGGGGCTATCAGCTATCGCTCGCCGGTCTGCGCGTGTGTTTGGGCGTGGAATATTGGCGTGGCCTATCCTATGCGAGGTGGTGCAAGTGGGAGCTAGGGACCGAGAGTGGTGGGCTTTAAAGGGGGGACGGGTTCGCGCAGCGCAGGGCCCCGTGATTGGTTCTCGGGGCGGGTGTGGCGGCGTGGGGACCGACCGGGTGGGCGCTGCAGCCTCTCCAAGTGGAAATTAAGTCGGGTTTCAACTCTCGCATCGCAGGAGCCAGGCGGTGATGGCTCAAAGGGGAAACCCGACTGCTTCCTCTTATTCCTTTTTATATTTTTTTGCGAAATGCTTCCTCTTATTCCTGCCTCTTGGCACTCCATTTGGGATGCTACAGAATAAGGTTTCGCTCCTCTGTCTGTGCTTGCGGATCTAGTCTAGTCCGTTATCCAGTCTAGCTTTCTATACGTGTTCAAATGCAGCGCTTTACCCGTCTACTATCCAGCGGGCGGGATATGTAAAAAAAAAAGGTTGACTTAGCTAATTAGCTCGGAAATACACTACTGTAGCGCAGAAATGGTGCAGACTTTAGTGGGTAGGGTACTACTGTACCAATACTATTTCTTCCTCTATTTAAGTACTCCTACTTGTGCACCACAACGTAAGGCTGGTCATAGTGGAGAGTAACTTAGACTAGTAACATACATATGTTACTAGTCTATGTTACTACCTTCATAGTGGGCAGTGTCATAGGTGTGGTAACATAGTTGCCTTCATTTATTACTTTGTAGACTCATTATGCATTGGAAACCGCTATGTGATGGTAACATATTATGTTACTCTATTTGCCTCTCTCCTCATTAACTACTTGCCACATCACCAATTTTGCTTATGTGGCATCTATGTTACTACCTATGTTACTCCCACTATGACCAGCCTAATAAGCAGGGTACCGCGGAAGAATCTTGACAGCACATCTTGATCGGAATCAATTCAGATGCACGCAACATTTATACACACAAAATTAGAAAATTCTTCGGGGAGAGAGGCAGTCAATCTGGCTCCGCATAGGCTGCATGCGCATGCGTTCCCTCCAGGAAAGATGCCCGCCCGGGTGCATGCACCTAGCGAGCGCCCCACAAACGACGATGCGCAGTTTATCGCAAAGTTGCACCATTATTTTATCCCCTCATGACGTACCCGAACCGGGTCTCAAGAATATAAAACAAACGTTGCAAAACCTGCCTCTGCCCGAACCAACGTGCCATGAGCTGCCCCGCGCCACGGTCTCCTAGCGCGTATGGACGGTTGGTACTTGGTACTGCCTGACCTCGCCGCTGCCAAGCTAGGGAACGGTGGATCCATGTATAAGCTTTCTTGATTATTTTTTTTGCGGGTGAATAACTTGGAGTATTACTCAACTCATAGAATTACAATCATCAGCAGCTAGCTGGACAGTTTCCTCAGGACCGGAACCCAACCAAGTCATGGTCCTTCCTTTGGTACGAGCAAAATTAGTTAGACCGTCACTAACCCTATTTTGAGATCGAGATATATGAGTAACACATGATTCATGAAGACTCAAAAGATATCTAATTTCACTAACTATGGAAGAATACATCGATCTATCAACTTCTTTAGACTGAACAAGCTTAACTGCCACAATGGAATCCATCTCACTAGTGCAGAACCGGGCAATAGCACCGGTTCGTAAGCCCTTTAGTGCCGGTTCGGTAACCGGCACTAAAGTGTGGGCACTAAAGCCCCCCCCCCCCTTTAGTACCGGTTCAACACGAACCGGTGCTAAAGGGCAACCACGTGGCACGAGGTGCGCCGTGGTCTGGAGGACCTTTAGTCCCGGTTGGTAAGGATTTTTTTTATTTTTGAAATAAAGTAAAAATAGCCCGCCTACTGGGCCGGCACGGCCTGCGTACGACTAGAAACCCAATCTTTAGTTGGGCCAGGATGCAGGCCCGTACGGCCCAGTAGGCCCCATAGGGCAAAAGACTTGCAATAGGCCCACAAAGGCCTGCTTAGAGAGGAGCTCGACACGGTAGCCGCGGCGGGGCTTATAAACCGGTGAGAACTCCTCTCAACTAGCGAGGTGGGACTAAACATTATGCACTGCGGGTGGCAGCGCACCACATGTAGTACCGGTTGGTGGCTCCAACCGGTACTAAAAGGGGGGTCTTTAGTACCGGTTGGAGCCATCAACCCGTACTAAAGGCCACCACCTTTAGTACCGGTTGGTGGCTCCAACCGGTACTAAAGACCCCCCCCCCTTTAGTACCGGTTGAAGCCACCAACCCGTACTAAAGGCCACAACCTCTTTAGTACCGGTTCATGGCACGAACCGGTACTAAAGGTTCGCCACAAACCGGTACTAATGAGCGCCGCCCGCCTAGCCGTTGGAACCGATACTAATGGTCACATTAGTGCCGGTTCAATTACAAACCGGGACTAATGAGTTTCACATTAGACCCTTTTTCTACTAGTGTCTCTATGCATATCGGGCAATTGCTTCTCTGCAAGGAAAAGGAGAGACCCTCCATGCATGCACACAACTCCGCTTCAAGAGCATCTCTGCACGAAAACAATACTCGACAGGCTGAGAAAATGATATTACCATTCACTAGTAGAAAACAGGGCTTTGGTTGGGGCCTGGCCAGCCCATTAGTCCCGATTCAGTCACGAACCGGGACCCATGGGGGCATACGTCCCAGTTCGTTAGCCCAGGGGGCTGGCCGGGGCCTCGTGGGCATTGGTCCCGATTCGTCTGGATCCATTTGTCCCGGTTCCTGGCACGAACCGAGACCAATGGGCCTTGCTCCTGGCCCACATACATTGGTCCCAGTTCGTGGCTCGAACCGGGATAGAATGGGGGCCTTTAGTCCCGGTTCCAGTCACGAACCGGGACAAATGAGTTGACTGTATATACCCCCTCGTCGGCGAGCAGAGCACTCCATAGTGCTCTGTTTTTTTGGCCGGCAAGGGGAGGGCATTTAGGTGCTCTAGCTCACCTCCTATGCACATGAGGTGTTCGATGAAATGCCCGAGCCACGCTAGTTAAGTTTTCTCCTCTCGAAGCTCGACCTCCAGACTCCATTTTCCCCGAGATTTGCATAGGTTTAGCGGTCCATCACGTCCCGTCCCCGTCTTCACCGCCGTCGATCGCCCGCGCTGATCTCGTCGCCGGCACCACCGTGGTGAGCCTCTTGTTCTTATCTTCTTTCTAAAAGAAAAACAATTCTTACTTTAGATAGATAGATACTTGTCTAATTTTCTTACTTTTGACACACATAATTATATATAATGCACACAAATGAACCGGCAATGGATGTACGGTGACAGACACACCTCTGAGTACATTAAGGGCCTGCATAATTTTCTTGAAGTGGCTGAGGCAAACAAGTAGAATGGTTTTATGTGTTGTCCATGCCCTATATGTGGGAATACGAAGTCTTACTCTGACCGGAAAATCCTTCACACCCACCTGCTTTATAAGGGTTTCATGCCACACTATAATGTTGGGAAGAAGCACGGAGAAATAGGGGTTATGACGGAAGACATCGAAGAAGAAGAGGACAATGACAACTATGTGCCCCCTGAATACCGTGATGCTGCAACGGGGGAAGCTGCTGAAGATTAAGAGGAACCAGAGGATGTGCCCGATGATGATGATCTCCGCCAGGTCACTGTTTATGCAAGGACACAGTGCGAAAGTCAAAAGGAGAAGCTAAAGTTCGATCGCATGTTAGAGGATCACAAAAAAGGATTGTACCCTAATTGCGAAGATGGCAACACAAAGCTCGGTACCATACTGGAATTGCTGCAGTGGAAGGCAGAGAATGCTGTGTCTGACAAAGGATTTGAGAAGCTACTGAAAATATTGAAGAAGAAGCTTCCAAATGATAACGAATTGCCCGACAGTACGTACGCAACAAAGAAGGTCGTATGCCTTCTAGGATTGGAGGTGCTGAAGATACATTCATGCCCTAATGACTGCATCCTCTACCGCGGTGCGCACGAAGATTTGAACGCATGCCCGATATGCGGTGCATTGCGGTATTAGATAAGACGAGATGACAATGGTGATGTTGACGACGAGCCCCGTAGGAAGAGGGTTGCTGCGAAGGTGATGTGGTATGCTCCTATAATACCACGGTTGAAACGTCTGTTCAGAAACAAAGAGCATGCCAAGTTGATGCGATGGCATAGAGAGGACCGTAAGAAAGACGTGAAGTTGAGAGCACCCGCTAACGGGTCGCAGTGGAGAAAAATCGAGAGAAAGTACTGGGCTGAGTTTGCAGGTGACCCAAGGAACGTATGGTTTGGTTTAAGCGCAGATGGCATTAATCCTTTAGGGGAGCAGAGCAGCAATCACAGCACCTGGCCCGTGACTCTATGTATGTATAACCTTCCTCCTTGGATGTGCATGAAGCAAAAGTTCATTATGATGCCAGTTCTCATCCAAGGCCCTAAGCAACCCGGCAACGACATTGATGTGTACCTAAGGCCATTACTTGAAGAACTTTTACAACTGTGGAATGGAAATGGTGTACACGTGTGGGATCAGCACAAACCGCAGGAATTTAACATGCACGCGTTGCTGTTTGTAACCATCAACGATTGGCCCACTCTCAGTAACCTTTCAGGACAGACAAACAAGGGATACCACGCATGCACGCACTGTTTAGCTGACACCGAAATTATATACCTGGACAAATGCAAGAAGAATGTGTACCTGGGCCATCGTCGATTTCTTCCGACCAACCTCAGGGAGTCCTGGACTAAGGGGTCCTCGGGCGTCCAACCTATTAGACATGGGCCGGACTGATGGGATGTGAAGATACGAAGACCAAAGACTCTATCCATGTCCGGATGGGACTCTCCTTGGCGTGGA